CCGGAGAATCCCGGCGTGCCAAACAAGGCCTCTACGTGTTTCCGCCCGCCGCCTCCCTCTCCGCGCCGCCACCGTTTCTCCCAGCGCGCCGCAGCCGCCGCCGCCGGCGCACAACCCCAGCCATCACCTACTCCATACATATCCCCCCTCGTCCGGCCCACCGCTCCTCCTCGAGCAGCCTCTTCCTCCGGTGCGGGCCACGCGATGTCGCCGCCGGCAGCAGGAGGGCTCGCCGGAGCCCGCGGCGAGGGCGGCGGAGCAGGGGTGGGGAGGGTCTTCGTGGGCGCTGGGTGCAACCGCGTGGTGAACAACGTCTCCTGGGGAGCTTGCGGCCTCGTCGCCTTCGGCGCGCAGAACGCCGTCGCGCTCTTTTCCCCTTTGGTCCGCGCCGCCCCGTCTCGCTTGCTCCTCTCTCTCTTCCTTTGATTATTAGTACTCCATTATCTGTTGATTTAACCGATTTGGTTATGTGCGAGCAGAGAGGTGAGATTGTGACGACGCTTCCGGGGCACAAGGCCACGGTGAACTGCACCCTTTGGTTGCCCACGAAGAAGGATGTGCTCCAAAGTAAGTTTATTTATTTGTTTATTTATTTATTTATTTATTTATTTATTTATTTCTTTATTTCTGCTGTTATATTGCTTGTGTTCATATCTGTATATTGGAGTAATTTCAGTCCAAACTTTGTATAATATTGTTCAAATAACTTTTCTTCATATCTGGATGTTAGAGTAATTTCAGTTCAAACTTTGGATAATATGGCTGAAATAACTCCTTTAGACATCATGATGTCATATTACTGAGCTCCATTTTTTTTGGGAAAATTTTAAATTGCGTTTCAGCACTCTGTTACTGTAATTCGGAAATGGATGTGAGGAAGTAGTTCATTGAATATTTGTAGGTGCTAAGCTATTGGTATTGTAGATTACTTTAGATTTTAGATCAAAGGGGAAAAATGTTCTGATTCTGACAGATGAGTTTTTGGCTGTTATTCTTTGTGGTTTCTAGTCCGCTCCAGGGAGAGACACTATCTATTATCAGGAAGTTCTGATGGTATTATCATGGCATGGAAGATTGATTCTGGAAAAGGAGAGGTCAATTTCTTCTGTCTTCAGTCTTCACCTTACCATCTTTGCATAGATTGTTCTATAACTCCGTTAATGACTTCCACCTGCAGTATCCTATGACTAGAACTGGTTGCAATTTTATTTTCTGGGAAATGTTTCTACGTTGTCTTGAGGATTGACTCAAGTGGTTAACAGCAATTCTTTTTGTTTTTCTGTCTGCATTGCAGTGGACTCGTGCGTTGCAACTGCCTGTGATGCACAAAAAAGGGGTCACCTGTCTTGCTGGAAGGATGGTGTCAGATACTGTTTCAATATTTGCCTCCACCTCCTCAGATGGAACTGTGGTCATTTGGAAAATGGAAGATGAACCAACTAGTGTTGGTAAGATAACAGACACATAGATTGTGATAAATTGTAGTTAGAGCCTAATCTTGTTATTGTATCTGGAAGAAATCCATATTGATTCTAACTGGTATCTAAAGTAAGCTCTATTGGTCAAATTATAATTCTAGTAACTGTTTGATTTTGATCTTAAAGTTTAAGGATATGTGCACTGCTGCCCAACTGAAGTAATTTGCTTCCATATGTGCAGGCAGCTGTGAAGTGTCTTGTTTGCATTCTATATCCGTTGGTCCAAAGCCAATGGTTTCACTTTCATTAGCAGTATTGCCTGGGCAGGGAGGCCATCTCATTTTGGCAATGGGAGGTTTGGATCACAAGGTCCACATTTATTGTGGGGATCAGTCAGGCAAGGTTTGTAACTGATGCTTTAGTCTCTTTTTGCTATCCGTTATTGCATTGCTTGTCTTAAGTAAGGTTTTTTTGGTGTGCAGTTCATTAAAGCTTGTCAGCTTAAAGGTCATTCTGATTGGATTAGAAGTTTAGACTTCTCTTTACCTGTGATGATGGGCAGTGAGGAGCACAGCCTTTTCCTTGTTAGCTCATCTCAGGATAGAACCATTCGGATCTGGAAAATGAATTCGGATGCTGTTTCTTCTGCTCACACAACACCCAGAAAGGAAGATATTGGGATTGCCTCCTATATTGAAGGTCCTTTGTTTGTGTCCAGTAATACACATTACCAGGTATCATTGGAGTCCCTTCTCGTTGGTCATGAGGACTGGGTGTATTCTGTAGAATGGCAGCCTCCTACGCTACTAACTGATGATGAAGCTCATCAGCCAATGAGCATATTATCTGCATCCATGGACAAGATGATGATGATATGGAAGCCAGAGAAAAATACCGGTCTTTGGATAAATTCAGTGACTGTTGGTGAGTTAAGTCACTCAGCACTGGGATTCTATGGTGGCCATTGGCAGCCTGATGGCAAATCCATCCTTGCACATGGATATGGTGGATCGTTTCATATGTGGAGGGATGTTGGACTGGGTTCTGAAAACTGGCAGCCTCAGATAGTCCCATCTGGTCATTTTGCACCTGTATCTGACTTAACATGGTCAAGATCTGGTGAATATCTGTTATCAGTCAGCCATGATCAGGTGAGTTCTTAGAACAGTTCTAATCCTAGCTAATAGAATGTAGTATGTTAATTGTCATTCTCCTCACCACTTACTAATCCTCTTTTGCATCAACAATAAATACGCAGACAACACGCATATTTGCTCCTTGGAGAAGCCAAGTTAGCCCAGGGGATGTGACTTGTTGGCGTGAAATTGCTCGCCCTCAAATTCATGGGCACGATATTAACTGTGTGGCATTCATTCAGGGTACCGGGAACCACCGGTTCGTTAGTGGCGCCGATGAAAAGGTCTCTAGAGTCTTTGAAGCTCCTTTGTCATTTTTGAAGACCCTTCAACATGCAACTTTGTTGAAAACTGATAACTCTGGAGATTTTGACGATGTGCAAGTACTTGGAGCAAATATGTCTGCTCTTGGACTTTCACAGAAACCTATATATACACATGGTCAGCATTCATCATGCCCTCTTCATGAATATACCATATCCTTTGTTTGGCACTTGTATTAGTACATAATTTAACTTTTCTGAGTTCTTCATTTGGTTGTTACTTATGTCTGTTGACGGTTGTATTCAGGACCAAGGGAAACCCAAAGCAGTATTTCTAATGACGGGCCAGATTCCATGGAGACCATTCCTGATGCAGTGCCAACTGTGTTCACTGAGCCTCCTGTAGAGGATCAACTAGCCTGGAATACTCTATGGCCTGAAACTCACAAACTTTATGGCCATGGAAATGAACTCTTCTCCATCTGCTGTGATCATGAAGGGAAGATCATTGCATCATCTTGCAAGGTAATGTATATCTCTGGAGTCTGGATATCCATGAAATATTTTATCACATCTTGTCTGGAAATAACACATTTCTCAATTTGTCCTCATGTATGGCATAGTAACATTAGTTCATGCACTTTATGCTCGTAGTTTGGCTTGACGAGTGTGATGTAGTAATGTGACCTTGTTGCAGGCTCAATCAGCACCAGTTGCTGAGATCTGGCTGTGGGAGGTTGGAACATGGAAAGCTGTTGGCCGCCTGCAATCTCACAACCTGACAGTTACACAGATGGAGTTTTCTCGTGACAATGCTTTTCTTTTGAGTGTATCAAGGGATCGTCATTTGTCTGTCTTCTCAATCAGGAAGACAGGTAAGGACTTCTTCCTATGATCTAGTAGTTCCTACAAATTTGTAAACTGCCAATATTTATCTGTTGTGTAATTATTGATGTCATTCCACTTGTGTAACTCTAGATGATGGAGCAGAGCATCATCTTGTTGCAAAGCTTGAAGCACACAAAAGAATTATATGGGCATGCTCATGGAACCCCTTCAGCTACGAATTTGCAACTGGATCAAGGGACAAGACCGTCAAGATATGGAGCGTTCAAGATTCATCTTCTGTCAAGCTGCTCGTGACGTTGCCTCAGTTCCACGACAGTGTGACAGCATTGGCCTGGACAGGCCGTGACCGTGCTAGTAATGCTGGCATTCTCGCTATTGGCATGGACAACGGAATGATCGAGCTCTGGAACATTTCAGGGGGGAGAGCCTCCACTGACAGCAGCGGCTCAGGTTCATCTCCGCTCAGCTTTGCATGCATGCTCCGTTTTGATCCTCTGCTGTGTCATGTATCAACTGTGCACCGTTTACGGTGGCAGAAATCTGACTCATCCGATGAGAAATCAGCGCTACAGTTAGCTTCTTGTGGAGCTGATCATTGTGTAAGGGTGTTTGAGGTCCGTGACATTTGAGAAAGTTATATGATGGTGTAGAGCTTGGCTCATGAGCTGCATCTAGTTCTTGCAGAACATAGGCTTAGACATCTGGATCTCATTGCCAAACTTTTATATGTGATTTGGCAGTGTTTGTCTTGCCAGTATCTTCATAGATGTGTTGTACTCCTGTCCCAAAAGTATAAGCCCTTCTAGAGTTTTTTCTTATGGAGATTATGGAGAGAGTTGAAATTAAACAAGGGATGGTTGAGATTGAATGAGATGAGGAAGTAGGCGAAGAAACTGAATGAGAGAAGTAGTTATATTTCGGGGCAAAATTTGAACGCTCGAAATAGCTACATGTGGGGGACAAAATGTAAACTAGTGTTTTTTTACGAAAATATTGCCATTGTCATAGTTGCCAACAGAAAAATGCTATATAATGGCAATATTTTCATAGTCTACTTAAAGACATGTAGCATTGGTTGACTGATAAACGATGCAGTTTATTTGCCTTCAACTACAATTTGATAAACTGTTGAATAACTTGTGCACAACTCTGCGGGCTCTATGTATCATCTAAATCTACAAGAAACCAACAACTGGATAGTATTCCCTGTGTTTCAGTACATAAGCAATGAGTTCCATACTTCCATTCTAAGTAGTAGTTGTGTTACTTGTGTATACACTTCTGTTCAACTATGTTCACGTTGCTACACCTTAGCTGCTGTGCTGCCTGAAGACTTCAATAATAGAAATTGTTCAAACAAGAAAGAGGAAGCAGCAGCCAGCCACAGCCAGCCTCAAAATCTAAATCCACATCAGTATAATTTGCCTTGCCTTGCTCAATTTCATGATGAAAACATTCCAGGTTTTCATACAAGAAATTTAAAATTAAAAAAGAAAAGAAAGAAAGAAAGAAGTTGAAGAAGAAATCTGAATCCCTAAATCATCATCATCATCATCATCATCAGTCACCTTGTGATGCATCTCCTAGCAACAAGAACACCACAGGGAGGAGCAGTGAGCTCCAGGTCACAGAGCGCCGACATCGAGTAGGTGTAGTGCCAGAACCAGAGCTTGGCCTGGACCTTGAACGTGCCCCTGATGGTGTACACCACCCTGTTGCTCCTCACCTGGTTCACCATCGCCACGGCGAGCTCCGGCGGCAGCGCCACCTGGCTGGACACCATGTGCACGCTGATGATCTGCGACTGCCCCCGCCGCTGCACGAACGGCGCCGGCAGCGCCTGCGCCGCCATCCGCCGGCCGCCGAAGAAGAGCTCCACGGCGGCCGACCGGAACACCACGTCCATCTTCTGGTTGGGGTTGGACACGTTCGCCGCCACCGTCATGTCGCCGTTCACGTACGGCGCCGGCGAGGTCGAGCCGACGTAGACGGCGTTCAGGGTGGCGCCCGCGGCGTCGAACGACGGCGCCCGGGGCCTCACCGCCAGGAACACGACGAGGATCACCGCGCCGGCGGCGATCAGGAGGAGGCTGAAGGCGAAGCACACGATCGCCGCGCACCACATCGCCGGCGACGTCCGCTGCCTCGGCTGCAGGATCAGCTTCGGCGGCGGCGGCGGCGGCAGCGCCGGCGGCTGCTGCTTCGTGGCAATCATCTTCAGTAGGATGCTTCTTGGAGACTGGACATGGTAAGGAGTCGCCATTAATCTTGAACTATAGCTATACCAGCAGCAAGATCCACCAAGAAGACGAACACCACAAGATCCACCAAGAAGATGAGCTAGAGAAGAGCTCAGCTCATATCACCACCAAGATCGAGTGCAAACAATGGCCAACTAACTAGTAAAGCAAAAGCTAGAGAGAAGAGCAAGAGCAAGAACAAGAACAAGAACAATGAATGGAGTGATGGGAATAAAAGGAGGGCTATAGCTATCTCAGCTAATGGGGGTCCAAATTAAAGAGAGAGGGATAGATAAAAGAGAAGCTTTTGAAAAAATGAGGAAGGGTGGCAAAATGGGGGCCATTTGCCTTGTGTTTCGCCATTTGAAAATTCAGAGCAGCTTCGAGTAAAGGTGTGAAGTGGGGCATGGTGGCTTGCTGCCGGCAATTGATTGGAGCCTGCTTTTTCTCACAAAAGCATATTTCTTGAGCTGGGCAAATACTAAAGCTTTAGTTATTTGTCACCCTCAGGCCTCAGCAAACAACCGATTTGATGCTGCCTGTTTGATGTTGTCTTCTGGCTTGTTCAAACAGCATTATATTACAGGCTCATTACAGCTACTTGGAAATTGGAATGTGCTCTTCTTTCTTTCAAAAGCAAAAGAAAAGGTTCTTCCACTATCAATCAAGTAAGCATGAGTTTGTGACTTCTGTTAGGTATATATAATTTACTGTAGGAGGCAACCAATGGCATTGGTCATACTGTCATAGTCAAAACAAATATCTGTAATCTTGTGGTTAAAGCTGAGTGACAAGTTTACAGCAGGTGAGAAGTGTGTGCAAATTGCAAGATATCAGCATATGAGAAGCATGCTCTGTTGAACACACATGGAGAGAGGAAGAAAACTAGCACAAGTTGCTTAACCTCGAAAAAGGCAAAAGGCAGCACTCACTCATACTACTCTACTCGTCTTTGTTCCAAAATAAAGACAAGTGAGGATGGGGGGTTAATTCATGGCTAAGGAACCTAAATATGAAAGAATCGCCTGGATAGATATTAGTGATTGTAACAAGAACATTCCAGCTGACTCATGGCTTTAGTGCCCTTCTGTCAGAGATTCAGAAAGATGATGCTGCACTGCACTGCACATCTTTACATGTTTACAGTAATATCTTCCTTGCATAGGATTGCACTATCTCTTCACCACTCTTCAGGTGTTTTCCTGACTTAATCAGACAGTATGGTAAGAAATTAAAGCATCTAATCATTTTAGGAGTAGTATTTAATTTCAGCTTCAGATTTCAGTGGTTGGTTCGTTGCATTTGCGATATGATCTTGATGTGAACTTTATGACCAGATAATATATTCATCAGTTCTGTAGTTTACACAATGCCGACATGCGTGTGCGTTGCCACGTGTCCTCAAGCTTGCGAGATTATTCAGTTCACTAGTGATTCTTTCGATGTAGTATTGTACATGTATTAAGTTTGTAGGTTAGTTAGGTGAGGTCGATCGATCAGGTCAGGCGATGTTCGCCGGCGGCGGGTTGCTGTCGTACGCCATGACCGGCGTGCCGGAGTTCTCGTCGCTGGGAACGTAGGAGCAGCTCGCCGTCGACGCCTCCACCGGCTCCTGCGCCGCCGCCACCATGCCATGCTCCATCGACAGGTACTGGTCCTCCGGCCCCAGGCAATGCTGCAGCAATGGCACGCGTAAAGCATGTGAGATTGTGAGGAGCTCGTCCTCGCCACCGATCATGGCGACGACGGTGGCCGTGGACAGCAGCTCACCGGCATGAGGGGGAACGGCGTGGTGGGGATGAGCGTGGAGAGCAGCTCGGTGCAGGTGTACGCCTGCCTCCACGCGTCGGCGGCGGCGGCGTGGCCTCCGGCGACGTCGTCGTCGACGCACCCCACCGCGGCCGCCGCCGCCGCGGCGCCGCCGGCCGCGCACGGGTCGCCGCCGTGCAGCCCGGCCACCTGTGAGTTGGCGTCGTACACGTCGTGGTCCCTGAAAAAGAAAAAAAAAACTCGAAAACTTATTGCAACCGATGGACGGCTGAGATGCGCTGGCGGTGCACGTACCTGAGGTAGATCAACGGATCAGATGCACTGAACATCGGATGGCCAGGATCCGCGCCTCCATCTGGGCCCCACATGGCAGCGTCACCACCGAACGTGGCCAACCCGTCCGCCTGGCTCACGTACATCTGCGTCCCATCTGCACCCTGCAATTAACATGCAAGATTTTCTAAAGTTTTTCAGTAATTCGTTTCAGTTCAGAGGAAAAAAATGGAGGGAAAAAAAATCTCATACCTGCATCGCAGCTGTCGTTGCATCGAACGGCGCCATGTGACTGCTCAACAAGTTGTTCTGCAAGATGTTTTTTTTGGATGAGATTTGTTCAGAATTCTGAGCAAAAAAGGATAGCACGCAATTCTGTTCTTGTCTGAATCTCTACAGTTTTGTTCAGAATTCTGCAGTTCAGAAACATTTTTGTCTCGTTTCATCGCTGGCATGTATGTACCTTCCTTTCGACGACTCGGGTCAGCAATTCCATGAGATACTTCTCGCATCCGTCGACCTCGCTGGATGTGCCGAACGCCGCAGGATCTGGCTCGAACATCCTGCAAGAATACGAGCATAAAAGTATGTTCATGGATTGGATTACTGCAGATTTGCAGTAATGTTTTTGCCTGTCAGTTTTAATTTAACTCTGACAGTGTATCATCATCTTGTTCATACCTAAGGCGGTCCTCGGTGATTTGCAGCTGTTGCTGGGAAGAATATATCTCTTGCTGAATCTCCTGAAGTGCATAGAAGAAACAATTAAATTGCAATATTGCATTGTCAAAACTGGAGATTTTAACAGTAAAAACTCTGCTCTGAAATCTGAATTTATCACCTCTATTTTCTCATTCAGGGCACCTGGGCTGAAATTTGCAAACAAGAAACATGCATATGAATGATTAGAAGAGAGGGAATCGAAGAACTAAATGAATTTCAGACAAATTGTATACGCATATGAGCACACTTTGCTAATTGTGTCGCCATGTCGCTCTCTCGCTTGAGCCGCTGAAGCATGCTGATGAGATACTGCATCGAATAAACAGCTAATCACGCGATGAACCCCCTCCCCTCTCAAACAAGAAGATGATGCTTACGGTTTACCTCCCGATTCTGGATGGCTCTGCAATGATCAAACCATGCAAAGAAACAAAGAACACAAGTCACATTTGGGTAATCTGTTCATCATCGATTTGTTCATAGAAAGACAGAGACAGATTTGTTTATCGATTTGGTTGCATTTTAACACTCACTCTCCCCTGTCGTGCTCCGAGAGGTTCATGTACCGGAGAATCACGTCCTCCACCCTGAACACAAGAGCAAAACATTGCCGAGAATGAGAGAAACGAAGACCAAAGCTCTGTTACTGTCGTCGTCGACGGTGAGGCCGGCCCGGCCATGCAGGACGAACAGGTAGGTTATTACCCGCGGCGGCCGGAGAAGTGGCTGAGGCGGCCGGAGGGGGAGAACATGAGGAGGGCGACGTCGATGTCGCAGAGCACGGACAGCTCGTACGCCTTCTTGATCAGCCCGTTCCGCCGCTTCGAGAACGTCACCTGCCTGTTCGTCGTGTTCTCGATCCTCTTGATCGGCAGCTTCACCCTCCCCATCCTTATCCCTCGCCGCCGACGATCGCTACCAATTAATCCGATATATTCACGACGTCAAAAATCTCCACGGATCGCGAGCGCGCGAGGCATGGTGATATACAGAGCGAGATAGCTCGATCGAGAGGCCGGCGACGTGCGCACCGACGATACGCGCTGGGCCGGGGAGCGCGTGCGTGCGGCGTGCGGCGCGCGAGCCAGCGAGAGAGAGGAGCGGTTCAGGCGGGAAATCGAGTGGAGGAGAGCGCGCATCGGCGCGAGGAAGATGGGGGGCGAGTACGTGTCGCCCATGCGCTCGTCGCGGGTGGGGTTATAAATTCAGTGGCGCCTCCTCACTCTTTGGTTCGAGAGGCTTGAAATTGAAGCAGTAGCTGCCGCCTGCCGAGAGGTAAACATGCTATAGCTCTAAATCACTTTTTTTTCTCATTTTTTTATACCCTACGAGCCAGTGATGGTTCTATAAAGAAATAGCAATGTTATTTAAGCAAATTAGATAGAGTTACAGTCTCCTTCTCATCTACATATGGTTAAAAAAAATTAGTGGACAAACTAGATAGAGTTACAGTCTTTCTTTCATCTACATATGGTTAAAAAAATAGTGGGGTATTCATAGTAAAAAAATTAGTGGGGTCTTCATGGGGGCTCTTAAAGCCTTCACGCCAGTAGTGAGGCCTCAGAGACCCCGCCGCCTCCATGCTGGATCCGCTCTACTAGGAGCGTATCTTTGTATCGTAGTGAGGCCTCGAGACCCTGCCGCCTCTATGCTGGATCCGCTCTGCTAGGAGCGTATCTTTGTATCAAGAGGAATAGAAGTTATTAGATTAGAAGGGGTCAGGGTACCAGAAAAAAACATTAGACTAGAGCTACAATCTCACAACTAATTGGGACGATCTAGGAACTCCTAAAACTAAAACTAGGGGCCAAGCACCGGCACTCCCGTCCTTGCCAGGTGCCATAGCTCCACCTCCGCAGACATGGATTTCGCTATATCCGCCCAGGATCGCCTTCTTCTCATTTCTAGATGTTGATTTTACGTCTGGATAGAATCTGTACGCAGTAACAATTCCTGGATATTTCCAACTGATTGCAGTGATAATTTGTGGATATTTGGTTTGTTTAGTGAAGCAATGTCACGTGATCTTTGTTGATTGCAAAGGTTTGAATGGCATATTTAATATATTGATCGATCAGATGGGGGAGCTCTTTTTTTTTCTTTTTTCATATATACTTCTTTTTCCACGGTTTTATAGAAATACACGAGTATACCTCGTTCGTTTCCTATGAAAAGGATGGATTAAGTTTTGAATTTTCGTGCCATGCTTTTCAAACCGCTAAACAGTGCGTTTTGTGCGAAAACTTTGTATATGAAAGTTGTTCTAAAATATTAGATTAATCCATTTTCCAAGTTTGTAATAATTAAAACTCAATTAATCACCCGTTATTACTATCTCGTTTTACGTGAAACACTTAATCTTCATCGGAAGATTCAAACACCATATTTCGTATTTTATTTTTACAAAATTATACATGTCGCCAATGTCAGATGGCGACATGGATATATTTTTTAAAATTTTGTTAAAAAAACAACATACAAAATCATAGGAAAAGTATATATTTGGCGAAAAAAAATCTCAGATGGGGAGTTTATTAACGTACTATTCCGGACTGAACACAAGTTATAAACTCCAGCCATACATATATCCCAAATCCAGGGAAATCCATCTCTCTCAATTTTTGGTTTAACATTTCGGCATTTCACCATATAGATTCAATTTCGGTAGCCTCTTTGTTTACTGAAACAGTACGTGAAATCCATTTTCTTTTGCACGATAACAATTACTTCTTTTTTTCTCTTTCAAGAACTACTGATCACTCCGTTAATTTTTAAAAATCACATTTTTATTTTAATAAAGTTTAACCCAAAAGGTTCAATAATAGTTAGCCAAACTATAACTACACTTAAAAAAGATTTAGGGACATTTTAAACATTTTTTAAAATCGTTTTAGGGACATTTTAAACATTTTTTTTAAAAACGATTTATGAGCGTGTTGGGGATTGAATACGAGAACTCAGGTTAGAACCACACACCCCTTGTCACTACTCTATCAAGTGTATATCAAACATTTTGTTGAACCCTTTGTTACGACTGATAGAAAAAATCTATGATAAAAAAAATCTACTAATTAGCAGTAAGATTTACCAACTGGTCCGATCTTGCATTTGGCAGCAGCAGCAGCAACAGCTAGCAAGCATGCATATATGGTCCTAACATCGGCAGGGCACTGAGCTGTAATCGGATCGTCCGCTACCTAGATACACAGGTCACAACACTGAACACCCCCAACACAAACGATGCTAATTGCTACCCATCCACAGTGTACGTGCCCCTGCTGCGGCTATAGCTTTAGCTAACGCCGGCTTGTGACCTTGTGATCTAGCTCGTCTACGACGAACACTGCCGCTGCTGCTGCTGCTGTTGGAGTTAGACATCACGTAGGAGTGGAGCCGGCCCGGCAGGGGTCGGGTTAATTAGCAGCTGAGAGAGCTATGTAGCAAATTCAGAAATCCAGCAGACAGAAATCTGCATCTCCGTCTGCTCAACTCGTCGCGGTCGCAGAGACGGCCAAGGTTGCCAACCTTTACATCCCTGACCGCTACTGCCAACCACGGGCCTACCACTGCTACTCTGCCTGCTGCGCAAAACGCAATGCATATACATGCTAAGATGAGCTATAACTTAGCTATAACTCGGCACTTTCAGTTGCAGCTTGGCATGCAGAGCCTTCAGCTCTCTTCAGAAGTGTGAGCTCTGAATCTCTGATGATGGCGTTGGAACAACAAGAAGGTTTTCAGGTGTATGTCTCTGTCTCGATCTCCTCAGTCGATTTATGTTCAATTAGTTCTTGAGTTTGATTGTTGGTTAATCTCCATTCTCGAGTTGATTGATTAATTTCACTGTATTTATGCTTAGTATATACATGATCGATGGGCAGTGCGACTGATGAGGTAGGAGATGGGATTAACGCTGCCTGGCTCCCTGAATGCCATCCGAGAAGCGTGCCGCTGTGGCCGGCTGCTTCCTGGTTGGCATTGAGGGAGTCATGCAGGGTTTGCTCATTTCCATCTACGACGACGATGTTTATAGCAAGCACGGCTTCCTAGCTCAGGTATGGTGCACTTATTCAAGACGCTTTGCTTCGTAAGAAGAACATATGAAATTTAAAGAATTTTTAGCCCTATAGAAAAAATTCTTGGGAAGGCCTTTGAAATAAAGGATTGAATCCTATCACTTTCTTTAAAACTCCTATGAAAAACGAACAATTCTATAGAGATTTTTGAAGAAAAGTTAGCAAGAGCTGCTTGAGAACTTCTATTTGAGTTTATCTTTCTCATATGATTTTTGTATTTTTCTCATCCGATTCATGTATTTTGCGATCCTCTATTTTGCACTTTCATTCCCTATCAAAAGAATTCTGTATTTTTTTATTCATATGTTTCTATGTTTCAAAGGCACCATCAATGTTTTTATAGCTTTTTTGCACTTACATTTCTGATCCTGCGTTTTAAAGGAGCCATCAATGTTGTTTCTTCTTCTACCTTACAGAATCAGATCTGGCACTTTCTGCATCAGCTTAGCATGTCATTGTTCATGCACTCAAAATCCATCGTAGCGTTCATGCAAACATAAATCGAACAGATGGCAGAAGATAGAATTCAGGAAGTCTTATTATGAGTTTTGAATGATTCATTGAGGGCGTTTCATATATCCATGGTTTTCGAGACTTAAGCGGTTAAAAGAGAACTAATGATAAATTTGAAGTCAACACAGAAAAAATGCCATTTTACTTCACATGTTAGATTCTTCAAAGAGAGTAGATGACCTCCTCATGTAGTTAACCACTGCCTAACCATCGGCGGCAGTAAAGCTATGTCACATTGAAGGCGACATGTCGCTCAAACTTAGCATAGATGAGAGATGACGTACCCTTGAACATTCATTTGACAAACGATAAGATTGAAAACAAGGATACTAACTAAAGAATAGAACTATTTGATAGGAACACTAATGCTATCCAAAATGATAGGAACATTCATTTCACAAATGCTATCCAAAATGACCAGTACTAGTTTGAATACCATGAGTATTCTATAACACTGATAAACTGTATTTACAGCTAGTGCTCCCTCTTGCAAAATCTTAAATCATAAGGAACAAAAAGTGTAAGTGTATGCTAAAAAGTGCCAATTGCGTATAGATTCTCAACTTCAGTAGAGCCTAATTCTTGTGGAGATTTCCCTCTGGCAAATGGGGCAAACCTTCAGATCCTTCCCGCAGTCCGAGCACGTCTGCATTCCAAGGTCTCATCAGTTTAGTATTTACATCTGAATCTTTATATACATTTTCAAGTAATTTTCATACCTGATGCCCACATCCAAAAGCAAGGTTCTTTGCTTCCAACCAGCAGATTGGACAAGTCTGCAAAACACAAGTTCAGCATGGCATCAAATTAACAAACATGACAAAGTTGACGGCTTGACGCATATATGAAAGCATATACTATCTGCAAAACACAAGTTCAACATAGGATCTGTTTTCAAGAAAGTACCTGATCACCTATGTCACTATCCTGTTTAGGTGCTGATGTCTTTTTCTGCAGCGACCCATAGCTAGTAGATTGCGTTTCTTTGACTGTTGAGCACCCATAGTATTGTTGGAAATCCCTCACAGGTGGAGGTAACACTGTTCGATGTGGAAATCCTCGACGTTTTCTGCACCCAAAAAAAGGACAAGGTCATTGCTGAAAAATACCAGGATTCTGGGTTTTCTGAAGTGTTATGATTTTGATTTAGACAGTAAAATACCCAAGAAGTTGGAGGTTTATTGCTGCCTTGAACTGTTCTGGGATCTCCATCAATGCTGAAAGAGCAAATTCTGCCTCCTTTTTGCTGGCAGGAACAGGTCTTGACATGATCTCTGTGAAGTTCACAAACTGCATCGCACTGTCATATTAGTATTTCCCATGATTATGCTAAATATGGGCTGTCACTTAACCCATTAACAACAGAGCATACCTGGAAGTTGTCGAACGCACGAGAAGGGATGTTGTCATCGAATTGCCTCATCATATCCCATGGCCCATCGCCAACTCCAACAAGCACAATTGACAAAGGGTAGTCACTGAAAAAAAAAGTCATGTTTGAGTTGAATGTAAGAGCTCAACATGGCAATATATTAGTTACTAACATGATAGTAACACTAAACACGGAAATGCTAAGCATATGATTACCTGGCTTTCACAATGGCATCTATAGTCTCCCTTTCCTGAGGGCTCAGCTGCCCATTACCTGTGTCAACACTGCGTGTAACCTATGCAAATTTTCAACGAAAACATATCAAGAACGGTGCAGTTGTAAATTCATTAGACGGTTAGACCAGATATCATATGTCAAATTATTCATGCTGGCAGACTTAGGTACTCATTTCAGAACAAACCTGTCCATCTGCAATTATAAGTAGGACATGATACTGGCCACCACTACTATCCACAATTCCAATAGCTGTCTCAATCATCGGTGCAAATGAAGTGGGGCCTGTTGAGAACAATCGAAACATATCAGTTGAATGAATATCGATGTCTTCTAATTGAAACTCAAGCAGAAGATGAACCAACCAGCCAAACGTAGTTGTGGAACAATTTCTCTGTACCGATCAAGTGCTTGTTCAAAACCATCACATGGTTTGTTGTCAGGATAGAAGCTAAATACCTTCTGGTCATGTGTAGTAGCTGTAGCATAAACTTAGTATTAAAAATTTGCATAACTTCTATGTACAAAATGAAGCATGTCGAGAGATTTAATGAACTGACCATCACCAAATCCATAGCATGGTATCAGGTTGTCCTCATCAAATCGTGAAAGAGTTTGCCCTATGATAGATATGGCTTGCTCATATGGGTTTGAGATATGGCCCAGAGAATGCAGGCTCTGGTTGTTGAAGGAAACTCTGCCTGCATATAATTAGAAACCATCAGCTCTTTTCTAAGAAGAAACAATAAGCCTGAAGATGAGTTGATCAAAGTTCAGGAAGCAGTGCACCGATAAACTTGAACAAACCTGTCCATTCATTGGACTTGGTGAAATCAATCCCAACAATCAGATTTGATGACTCAAGACCAGCGTGTGCAAGAGCATCAGTTACCTAGATTAAGGAAAACAACATGATATCATACTTCAGTATAACAAAAGAAATATGTCTTATGTCACATGTGCTGAAGGGGAACAGAAGAGCCTATGAAAAAAAAAATCTAGTTGTCCTGAAAAAAAATGTTTTTTTTTCTTTTGGGAAGTTGCCCCTGTGACAACATCCTTTCACTTCGACAGCTTCTTGTCGAAGTTGGAACTTTGTAAACATGTGCATACTCCTTTCTTAAGTAAATTTAGTCCGCCTAGGGATACAGGAGATTTCACTGTATCTAATTCTTTCTTTAGACCAAGCATAATTATTAATTCTTATGGTAGTGATAATTTTACTTTTACTTGAAGAACCAGGGCAAACTGCAAAACTGTATACATCTAAGAGGCACCTACTTTGCAGGACATGAACAATCTATTCTCACGACATATGAACAGCATGAGTATAAGATGATACCAAGGAGGAACTTGATATCAAACTGATAGACAGGAAATAGTAGTTTAGTACACCCAAACCTCCCACCAACATATATGTGTGAAAGAACTTATTCCTGAACAGGAACAAATCCATTTCCATTCAAGTACAGCACCATCATTGACTAGATCACATGATAAACACCACACAACTATTCAGAAGTAAACAGCAATGCCCACACATAGCACTGTGTACCCGGCAGCAAATGAGCAGTTTCGCAAGCAAGAACAGATGCATGCATCAGGAGGGACCGAATTAATCTCACCTGCTCTAGGGTATGGTAATCATCGCCGAACTTGGCGAACCGATTGTTCCCCTTCGGCGCGGCATTGCTGCTGCTGCTGTGGTTGCAGCAGTGCGGCTGCTGCCCCGACGGATTCTGCTTGGAGCAGAACGCCCCCATGTCCTCCTCCTCTTAATCAATCTCTTCCCTCCCCTCTCTCCACTCGCTGCAGAACAAATCAACAAGAAAAAATCAGCAATCTCTCGATTCCGCTCAAGAAGAAAGAGAGATAGGGTTTAACAGAGTCGCCCACCACAATCTGGAAAGAAAAAAAGCCCTCGCAAGAACTGAAGATGAGAATTTGGGGGGAGGAGAGCAACCGATTGCCGAAAAATAAGAGCGTATAGAGATAATAAACATAATAAAAACCACGACGAATCAAAAGAACTCCCGGATTTGTTAGGCGAACCTACATTGCGCGGAAATCCTTCGCGGGGAAGCACGCAAATCCGTTGGCGTGGCGTGGTGAGGACGAAATCAAGAACCCGGAATCGAGCGAACTGAAAACTGAACAGATTTTTTGAGGAGATAAATAAATATAGTAAGAGTTTGCTCCGTTTCGATCCTTCTCAACCGTCAGATTGGGCTCGATTTGGGCTGCGGGAAATTGCGTGGATGGGCCCACTAGTTTCGTGCAGAAAAAAAAATATAAGGGAGAAAAAAGAGGAGATGAACTCGAGATCTTTGTGTGTGCTAGCCTCATTCTTTACGGCACGGCGTAGTCCAAGGGTGGAACGCCGTTTTTGTGCTGGTTTTCAGATCTGGATATGTTTGTTTTTACCCAAATTTGTATTTGTATACTGATCCACTGTGCCAACGACAGTTGCAAGGCAGTTTCTCAGAAAGAAAGGTGAATCTCTTTTGAGAGCATTGCCGTTTTTCGGACAGTGCGTGCTTGCTGATAATGGTAATTTGGTAGTGATCCATGGAGGGCACTTTCTTCGAAAGACTAGCCGGTACTCTATCCGTTTTAAGATAAATTAACTTAAAATTAAATGAGGTATTTTCTACTACAACGATATATCTATCTCGTCCAATCCTATTAGTTTATTTTTAAACGAAGGGAGTAGCTGAGACGATCTACCTCCTCAAAAGCAATTCTCCTCAAAAGCAATTTGTTTTAGTTAGGTGGACAGATCTCAAGAAGGTTCTTCCGAAAGTTCATACTTACTGAGATTTCAAATTTTCACGTCAGATTTGACCCTTCACCTTCAAATTTTGCTGGCAACTTTTCTTTAGAATTGAGGCGAACCATTGGGCCGGAACGTGATTGCCGGCCCATACCACTTGGGCCGAAACGTGGACTGCCACCTCCGGTGAGGCCCATACTACTTGGTATGGCGGACGAACGGCCGCTGATCGCCGGAGCCATGCAGCTGCGGCGGCGGGGGCGCCAGATCGCGGCGCTGCTCAAGTCGGCGTCGCGCGCCGGCGACCTCCTCCAGCTCCACGCCGCCATGATCAAGTCCTCCCTCTTCCCGCACCACGCCTTCCCCTCTGCCAAGCTGCTCGCCTCGCCGCACGCGCCGCTCCCCTACGCGCTCTCCCTCTTCGCCGCCATCCCCACCCCGACGCTCTTCCACCACACCGCGCTCCTCCGCGCGCTCTCCGCCTCCGCCGGCGGCTCGCTGGCCGCCGCGCTGTCCGTCCTCGCCTCCGCGCGGGCGCGCCTCCCCGCTCTGGACGAGTTCGCGTTCCAGCCGCTGCTCGCGCTCTGCGCCAAGCGGGGCCCCGACGGCGACGCCGCCGCGGCCTCGCTCGGGAGGCAGGTGCACGCGCTCGTCGTGCGGTACGGGTTCTCGGGCGTCGTTAGCCTTGGGAACGCCCTGTGCCACTTCTACTGCTGCTGTGGCGGTGGTGGCGGCGAGGGAATGGCGGACGCGCGGAGGGTGTTCGATGAAATGCCGGAACGGGACGCCGTGTCGTGGAACACGGTTATTGGAGGGTATGTCAGGGCGGGGGAGGTAACCAAAGCGGTGGATATGTTCAGTGAGATGATGTGCTGCAGTGTGGGCGTCAGTGTGACGGCGTTGGTCACCATGATCCGGTGTGGGTGGCAAGCTGAGCCTGTGCATGGATTCTGCATCAAGGTGGGGTTCTGCAGGGATGCAAAGGTGGCATCTGCAATGGTTGGGATGTATGTGAGAGAGAAGAGCGTCGAGTGTGGCAGGAAGGTGTTCGATGAGGCGACCAAGAGGGACCTGGTGCTGTACAATTGTATGGTGGATGGCTATGCTGAGGCAGGGCAAGTTGAGGAGGCAATGGGCTTGGTGGATAGGATGAGGCTGGAGGGAGTGAGGCCAAGCTCAGGGACTCTTGTGGGTGTGCTGTCTGCTTGTGGAGCATCTGGGGCAATGGCAGCCGGCCGTCGCCTTCACGAGATTGCGCTAGAAGCAGGACTTGAGCTTGACACTGCACTTGGCACAGCTCTCATGGATATGTATTTCAAGTGCGGGTACCCCAGTGAGGCGGTGGCGGTTTTCGACGCGATGCAAGAAAGGGATGTGAAGGCATGGACAGTGATGATCATGGGTTTCGGTGTTAATGGACAGGCAGGTGAAGTGATCTCCCTGTTTCGCTCCATGGAAGAAGATGGAGTGGTGCCTAACGAGGTCACCTTTCTTGCGGTACTGAATGCCTGTAGCCATGGTGGGTTGGTGTCGGAAGGGAAGAAGTTCATGGAGAGCATGGTGTTGCAATATGGCATCTTCCCTAACACTGAACACTATGGCTGCATCATCGATCTCCTGGGAAGGGCGGGGCGGTTGGATGAAGCTTATGAGCTCATAGCGAGCCTATCTTCCCAGAGTGATGCCACAGCATGGAGAGCCTTGCTTGCGGCCTGCAGAGTCCATGGCAATGCCAACCTGGGGAGGATGGTGCAGGCACGGTTGGATAACATGGACGACTACCATCCATCAGATGCCATTCTTTTGTCAAATACATATGCATTGGAAAGCCGATGGGATGAGATTGCACATGTCAGAGATTCAGAAGATCAGAAAATTGTCAAGGACAAGAAGGAACCAGGTTGCAGCTCCATAGAAGTGTCTTGGTGAGGTATCTATCTGAATCTCGGCGTGATTCTCAATTGGAAGCCATACCTTCCGTATAAGTGACTAACACTGGATTATGCCAAGATCAACCCTTGCTTGAAAAGAAAATCATACTAACCATGAGCACAGTTGCAAATATTGTATTGCACATTTGCTAAACTTCAGAAGGCAAGAATTAAAAGTTGAAAGTAAGGAATTCTCAAATCGTGGTGTGGATCTCTTGTTATGTACCTAAGATCTGCCTGTACAGTCTTCCTCGCTAGTGCCAGTAGTACCACTGCTACACTGCTGATCTTGTCTTCCTGGAAGGACTGGAAACAGGTTTACTGTCAAAGTGGCCGTTGGTGTTGGGTACTTTGCCTGGGGCCGTGTCACATGATCAGAAATTCCATGTTCTTGCGATGGTTCACTGTCTTCACTTGTTGTAGACTCTGGGAAGAGCTGTAGCTCACTTGGTGTGGTGCCATAGTGCTGCTCAATGACAACTGGCTGCTGCTGAGGAAATGCTGCTGTTATGTCAGTTGTGATGACCGATATTCTGATAAATGTGGCACGCGATGTACTGGGAACAATCCCGCTTGTGCGATAGGGTCTCCTAGAGCTGGTCTAGTATTTACGTGACTCGAAACAGGACTGCCTTCCATCTGCGTCGTAACTCCTAAGCTTGTTTTGAAGCTCCAAGATTTCACTATGAAGCATACTGTTATCGTCGTGCAGTTCATTTCTTTCCAATGCAACCTGTTTCGTAGCATGGAAGGTATGATTATGAATCAGCGGTAAGGTGGCATTATTTTCTGAATAATGATAGTGGCATGAATCTGAGGCTGACATATTCTTGCATGAAGCTATCACCATAGTGGCATGAATTTAACAACCACTGGAATTGGACCCCTCTAAACGAACTCTTAAAGTGAAAATATGTACTTACATTTTTGTGTCCATATTACTAGCAGCAGACTATCAAATTAATAAGGAAGTAAATAATTTAACTACTAATTCGCAATGAGCTGAATAGGATATTTCGATTCGAAAGATCTTACAGCCTTTCATAATGAGATTAATTCTTCAAGGCACTATTCTCCTTTCAGAGAGATTCCACTAGTGAAAGTAATAAATCTTTTAGTATTTGTGTAGTTTCACCCAGTACACATGCCTTCTCATTGTTCTGCCTGTCTGGTTCTGGAAAAGAGCTTGCACATTGCTTAAGAAAATATAATTTCATATTCAAGAAAATATAGTTTTGGAACTTAGAAAACTAAAACCTATCATAGACAAATGGTATGCATGAGGATACTTGCACTCAGTGACAGTATGACACATTTTTGTTTTTGGTATTACAGGTCAGTGGTATATGTCAGGTTATGGCAGATGATAATGTAAATACTAAACTAAGTCCATGCCGGCTGTTACATTTCTAGTATTTCTGACATCAACCTAGGATCCGGTTGTCCGAGCTTCTACCATCAATCATAAAATGTAGTTAGAGATAACCAACTACAAGCTTACAAATGGCTGTCTCTAGCAGTATGGAAAGTATGTGCTGGATGGACGACATAAAATAAGCACTTTCATAAAGACAAATCCAAATGCTGTAATGCAATTATGCAATCTGAAATCATGTTTATGGATTTGCACCTATGAAGCAAACACATAGCAAGTTTCCCAGCTCAGTACAGAGGTCATTCTGCTTGTCCAGCTTAAGTTTATCCCTGTCTGATTTATGGTTTCTCTTTGGAACCTTCTTATCACGCTTCTTGTTCACTATACCCGCATATAAAGTTCAAACATCAGTTGTAGAATCAAGTATTGTGATTTTAAAGCAGTTTGGACGATATTCTTTCATGGAATAGCTCAAGATGAAGTAAGGAATTGCTTTTCAATTTGAACTTGTGGTAGTTAACCCCATTGCAGGAATTAAATTTGCAATGCTCAAAGAATGCAAAAGGTCTGAGCACAACCACAATAATATCCATTTAATTAAAGGATGACCCAAGAGATTAACTTCCTAAAATACAAGATGAAAATTCTGTATGGTAGAAATGCAAAGTAAGATTAGGCCTATGTACGAGGTAATGCCATAATTTGGGCGGTTTGGTACCCTTTGTACACATGATGTTGGTTAATTGATTTTGTGTATTCATTCTGTTTAGGGCCTTGATGAGTAATGATGACCCAGGTGTTCGTGTTATGCAGGAACTATTCACACTTCCACCGGGCGTGACTATCATGCAAGCAAGACTGAGAAAAGCACTGGAATGGAAGACTAAAAGGACAGCGCTTTAGTGAATTCGTTGCAGCCCCTTACGCTCTCTTGTGAGTTGTGACTGAATCTATGTTTAGCCAGAAACAAAATTTGAGCATATGTTAATTTTCTTCGAAGATACCTTTCATGAGAGGGTGAAAGATGGGAAGGAGTAGAATGCAGTTTTTGTGCCGATCTTTGTATTTGCTTTAGGGTATCTGATGATACAATTGTTATGAAGGAACTATATTCCCACCATCCGGATTTAACTAATTTATTGTATAAGGTCATGATCAATTGTTTAGATGGTTGCTATCTATTTATACGAATGATCAGGCAGTGTGTCCTTTATATATTTTTTTTGGTTTTGTCTACACTATCTTGGACTTTATATATCTTGGACTATTCATCTTGTAAACAATGAGCGGGGTGACTATTTTTTGAGCATGTGGTTTACTCTCAAAGTTTGCCAAAAGTTGCCACACCTCATGTTAAGCAAGTTTGACTAAGTTAGCATATTGTTTGGTTCATAGTCACGCTTGTGACAATATTCCTTCTCATCTATTAGGGCCTCACATGTCATCAACTCACTAAAGTGTGGCACAATCCAATTTTGCTAGCTAAGGTGTGGTCCACTTTTTGTAAGCCACAACTTAGGCAAGTGTGGCATAAAAAGTATGGTGCGAAGGCTGTTTGGATGCTATACTAAGTTTGCCACCATTCACCATACTTTTTATGCCACACTTGCCTAAGTTGTGGCTTACAAAAAGTGGGCCACACCTTAGCTAGCAAATTTGGATTGTGCCTCACTTTAGTGAGTTGATGACATGTGGGGCCCTAATAGATGAGAAGGAATCTTGCCACAAGTGTGGCTATGAACCAAACAATATGCTAACTTGGTTAAACTTGCCTAACATGAGGTGTGGCAACCTTTGGCAAACTTTGGGAGCAAACCAAATAACCCCACACGAACTATAGTTTCGCTCAAATCGTATTTTCAGCCCATGGTTGCGCGTAGTTTCGGCCCATACGTGCTCGTAATTTCGGCCCAGAGGTTATGGTAATTCCAGCACGTAGTTGATCGCAATTTTCAGCCCATATATGATCCTCCTTCGGCCCATAATTTTGCAGAATCCGACCGATCAAGTGCTTCGAGTTTTTCCCCTTGCCAGAGTTCATTTCTCGCGGGAGAATTTACTATTTGCCACTCTCTCAGAATGACAATGCTCAAATGCCACTCTCCTAAATTTTCATTCTCAAATGCCACCCGGGCCCACATGTCAGCCTCACTCAGCATCGGGTCCCGCATCACTTTTGTTTGAATGGAAAGTGAGGCTGACATGTGGGCCCGGGTGGCATTTGGGAATGAAAATTTGAGAGAGTGGCATCTGAACACTGGCATTTTGAGAGAGTGGCAAATAGTAAATTCTCCTGGCGTGGGGGTGCCACAAGATGGCATTGCCACGAATACGTGGCCCATAGAGAATTTGACCCAGAACGGGATTGGAGGCCCGTGGTTTGGGCCGGAAGGTGATGACGCCTCTGCCGTTTTCTTATGCCCTCGGGGACGACGAGGAGATATAAGTGCGAAACCGTCGTAATACTCTCCGTCTTCCCATTCCAGTTCCCCTCCCTCTTCCAGGATCCAAACCCTAGAAATCTCCTCTGCGTTCCTCTCCCCAAATCACCGAACCCTAATCCCGCTTCTTCCACCCCACCAACCCCATGCCACTGCTTCGCACATACAGCCGGCGCCGTCGCCGTCGCCGCGACAGCCGTCTCAGTCCTACTCGCTCGCGCGCACCGTATGTCTGCCTCTCCCTCTCCCTCTCTCTCGATTACTATTTGTTTTCTGTTTCGGTTCGGAACGATCCAGTCGAAAGTCGAATCGTTTTGTTTTATCTGTTGCTTGGATTGGATTGAAATTACGTATATAGACCATCCTAATTTTGTTTTCTTTGGCGACAATTTCTTCACTCATCTTCGCTTGAAATTGTTACTCTTCAGATATCAGGAGGAGGAACATGTGGTTGAGACTGCATCTGCAAAAGCGCGCGCCGATCCGCTGTATGACCACCGCAGTCCTTCTCCCTTATCATTCTTTTTGTGTTGCTGATCTAGTCCAAGGGTATACTTAGGTCTTTTTCTGTTGCTGATCTAGTCGAAGGTTATACATAGGCCAAATGGTTATGAAGGGTCTTGCTTACTTGATTTGGATTCTTGGATGGTTAGGGAGAGAGGGCTTACTTGATTTTGATTCTTGGATGGTTAGGGAGAGAGGGCTATCGTATTGATCTCTATGTATTTCAGTCCGATATAGTTACCAGAAGATTTTTTTGTCCTACACCATTTTTTCTGTACAAAGCTAGGAAATTCTTTTTCTTTTCCTCGTGGGGCTCTATCAATCCAACTTCGAATTATGAATGCATTTTCTACATTCCTCAACACTGTTTTTTTCATTAATAATGAATGTTACTCCCTCCGTCCCATTTACAGGGTGTGATATTTTTTTTATATAAGACCAAGAAAACTGGTCGTGAGGAAAACAAATACTCTCTTACCCCTAATAAATCGCAAGCATGCAACAATTGATTCATGGCATGCATGCAAAAATTCTGTTGGTAATGCATATTTGATTTGCGCAACTAATTAGTTCTTCCCATCTTCCCAAAGCATTCAACGGTGAGTGCAAAAGGATAAGATCGTGCACCCTCTGTTTTGGGACGGCATAGAAAAAAAATGTGCGCCCTCTAATCTGCGATGGAGGGAGTACAAGTGACAACTGTTATCACTAGTTTTTCTATACTCTGATTATGGTGGTTTGCTGTTTCTCAGTCTGATCCAAATCATGGATTTAGCTTCAATTTGTAGGAACTGCTTTTATGAATTTATAGTTATGCATGATCTATCATGATGACATGTTGCATGCCAAATTGAAATGACACCATAACAGTTAGGCATGAAAAATTTATTTTGACACTGTAAATTGTGTATTGGGTAAGTGTGATGTTCTGCATTGCAGCCTATTAGTTAGTTTGTATAATATTCCCGCTGTGGATTAGCCACTTATGTTCTTCTCAAATATGGTAATAGGCCAGTAAGAATACCAGAGATATGAAACTGACAAAATGGTCATTGAATGGACAGCTGGCATCTATGAGCCTATTTATGTTTTCTGTGCCTTTTAGTATGCTTTCTTGTTGACAAACCTGATTCATAGGCTTTTAACTGTGCCAAAAAAATATGACTTTATGCCTGCGAAATGTGTGGCAAAATATTTCCTATTTTAGATAGATAGTTCCTTCAACTGTCATCTCACCGTGGTAATATGCCTATGGTTTTTATGTCTCCTAAGATAATAATAAATTCTTCTTCTACTCATTTAGCTTGCTTGTTCCATATCAGGTATGCAAAGGAGGGGCATGTGCCATCTTACATCGCTGCTACTTCCTCATCCTGTCAGCAAGCAGATGCAGTAGCTCAGGACACCGAGGTCTTGCCACCATCAGGAAGCTGCCTTTCCTCATCTCCGGCATCACACGTCTGGGCCCGACATGTGAAAGATTGGGGACTCATATTTTACATCAGGGTTGATCTTCAGGGATCTTTCCACACATATCCTGATGTGGGTGGGCCATTTCAAAGCTCACAGGAAGCTGACAAGGCTATTGATCGCTATCTTGAGGACCATCGGGATCCAAAAATGTAAAGTTCCTCGACTGCTATTTAGATTTTTATTATTTCATTTCTTTTGTTTGATGTGTATGCTTGCAGCTGATTATATTCAAACAAGGATACATGGCTGATGCTATAATAGTATAGGTGATGGAACATAATGCAGTTTTAAAAGTATGAATCATGATAACGACGAATGGCCTTTAGTTAAACTACATATAAATTGACACATTGATTAGAAGAAATACAAGCATATGTTAGTTTTTAAAATTCTTGTTTTGAGAGTAATTAAAGTTAATGGAAAATTTTATAACTGTATTTCTGTGGGAGTTGCTGAAATAGCACAAGTCATTAGCATAGCTGAGAATTATGAAGTGCATATAGATGTTATGAGACCACTTTGTATGTAGCTATATTTTTCTTTTAATTGTAATTTATATGATTGGTTAGCCTTTCCTCAGCAGTAAAGAAAAAAAAGATTTCCTAACAATAGGTTCCAAATGAGCTTGGGGTCTAGAATAACAGAAGGGATATCTTAAAAAATGCCTTGGGAACAGGCTTGTAAACAGTCATTTCATTCTTTTGTTTCGGTTTCTGTTACCACCTTAATCTATTTTAGAGGGTCACTTGGGAGCTTTTGATGCAAGCTAGGACTGATAACATTGAATGAGTTCTTGGTATTATTTTGTGTTCTCCATTTTTTAGGAAGTACAATCCACTAATCGTATCGGATGCTCTGATTTAAACTAGGCACATAGGGCAAAATGATGATATCTCTTCAATGGAGAATGTTATACGGCGATGCCTTTACTGGCCTGATGGCACAATTAAGAGGCGTACAAAATCATTTGCGACTTGGGAAGCCAAAAAGAGAATGCACCAATTCATCCAAGCATTAGTGGACAAGTATAATGATGATCACAATCTTTTGGGGGTTTGCTTTCTCTCTATCTCATTCTCTGTCCTTCTGCCTTGGTTGCACTGTCTTATTTATCTTATTATGTACTCCCTCCGTTTCATATTATAAGACTTTCTAGTATTGCCCACATTCATACATATGTTAATGAATCTATACACTTATGAATCTATACACTTATATGTCTAGATTCGTTAACATCTATAAGAATGTGGATAATGCTAGAAAGTCTTATAATATGAAACGGAGGAAGTAGGATTGCCTATCTGATCCATCCTTTTTATTTTAGGATTTGGCACTTAAACTCAAAGACGTTTTGCACTACCAACCACTTTGTGAGAACCATATGTGGTACTATCATCTCAATTTCACTGCAAAGACTAAAGAAGATGATGGTTTCGACTCTACTAGTGACAATCTGTTCTTTGTGGAAGTCAAATGTATGGGAAAAGGAAATTATGAAGAAATGGTGGTCAGCTGTTTCTGCGTGATTAATCCTATTGATAATGGTATAGAGTACTTCTATCTTAATAAAGTATTGTTAAATTACTGTTGGTCTCGCTACCTTGAACTTATTTGCGATATATACTTGTAAATGTTTTTTTTTCTAACGGTAGTACTGTACTATAATTTTACTGTATTTATCTGTTTGTTTCCTCTTGTGTCATTTCATCCATTATCAATATCCTTGTATATATTTGTAATATATTTACTTAAGTTAATCACACATTTTTTTATCTTCAATTATTTGATTACTATTGGGTGTGTGTATCTGGTTGATTACTTGGCAATTAACTGTCCTTTTCTTTTGAAATTAAGGTAAACCATGTAAAGGTTGTACCAACAATGGAACTGCTGACATGAAGCACCCTGACACTGGTGAATACTTTGCTGGTCACTTGGATGCATATTTGCCCTATGGATGTTTTGGACAGTGGAGTGACTCTGACGACGATGATAAATACGTATGTTGATTTTGTCTGTTGGCAAGCTTACCATTTTTGTTGCTTAAGAGTTTAATTATAGTTTTTTAGGGAAATTTAATTACATGAGTTTCCCCTCTTTTACAGGTGAAAGCCAAGGAGGCTAAGTTAAGGCGTATGTTCAAGGTAATGTCATGTTTTTTTTTTTTTTTTTTGGAGTTGGGGGGGGGGGGGAGATAATGTAATGTTTTTGTGAGGGATGGTACCTCTACTACCTTCGTTTCAGGTTATTAGATGTTTTGACTTTGGTCAAAGCCAAACAGCTTCAAATTTGACTAAGTTTGTAGAAAAAATAATAACATTTTTAACGCAAGACAAATTTATTATGAAAATATATTCAATTATTGATTTAATGAAACTAATTTGGTATTATAAATATTACTATAGTTGTCTATAAACTTAGTCAAACTTGAATTTGAAGTAGTTTGACTTTGACCAAAGTCAAAACGTCTTATAACCTAAAACGGAGGGAGCACTAATGGAACGTTCGTCAACTGGTTACTTCATTATTATAACTCCCTCCTTGTGTATTTGTTGTCTTTAGGGCCTTGATGATCCACGTGTTACGGAGAAAATATTCACACTCCCTCCGGGTGTGACTATTGTGGAAGACTAAAAAGGGATGGAGGAACTACTCACACTACCTTTGGGTGCGGCTATTGTGCAAGACAAATGGGCCACCGGAGTCAACGTCGCAGCACGTGTAGAATGTCGGTATCAATGAAACACAAAGGCGGTATCTAAAATATTAAACGTCTGCTATGTATATATCTCAAATGTCCTTGGTTTGCATGGGTTATCTCCGTTGGCGTGCAGCTCCCTGTGATGAGATTTGCATGACTTCCTGAATTTGGATGTTGGGAGATAATTTCTGTCGACGGAATACCTGCACTACCCCAGTTTTTCTTAGAACTGCACTACACCCGTTTGCTCATGGTCACCGTAGGCTACTTCATACTGTAATTCCGGCCAATCCATCTTAGGACCTACTGTACTTATTTACTTGGGTCAGTCATTGAATGCCGGAGTCGGGGTTCATTTGTCAGGTGATAGCACTGTAAAACTTGTAGCATACTGACCTTTCATAGCGCACTAAGCGGAGACCATCAACACACGTTTAACAACTACAAACTACAGCCTATAATCAACACATGTTTACAATCACTACGGCCGTAGTCCGCCGTTGAGCCGAGCGTGCCGGAGGAGCCGGCGCGTTCGTGGACGCGTGACGTGGACTACGGCCACTCGCTCCTTCCCCTCCCTCGGCCTCCTCGGCCCGAGGCCGAGACGATCAGATCACATCTCGTGCCGTCAGCCTCTCTTCCTGCGCCCCCTTCCCGTCACAGTGACGCCCTCCGTTTCCTTTCCCCTACTCCCCCCGTAGCTCGCGCATAGCTTCCCGGTGACCTCCTAATGCTCGTATTCGGCCGCCAAGCCCTGCCACCGCTCGCCATAGCTCATTGGTCGCTTTGCTCTGTCGCGGAGGCCGCTCGCCGTAGTGCTGCCCCGTGCGCCCGTTTCATGCGGAGTGGACTCGCGACCGCGGGTAGTAGCTCCTCCCCTGCTGCACCAATACTGATGTAGGGAGATAAAACTGTCCACAAACTGATGAGAGATACAAACACCTTAATGTGGTTCTGCGGCTCTATCGTTGCACATTTCAAAGGTTGTTTGCTCAAGATCAGAAAGATGGAAACTCAAAAGTGAATAGTGTACCTGTCTAGTTGAAATATATTGTGCGTGCAAATAAGCATTTTATTAAACAGGGGAAAACATTGTTCTGATAAATTTACCTCAGAATTGATTAACTCGGTTCAGCTGTTTGGGGAGCAGACAACCAGGGCTGGTACTAACTTCTTGGAGGCCCTCGGGCGAAATAATGATAGAGGCCCTCATAAATATTTTTTTTCGTTGCAAGAGTGAATAATAATTTATTATATTATAAAAAAAAATCCATAAGTCATAACTGGCATTCCAATTTCCAATTGCCTAATAATACTTTTCATAAGTTGAGCACAAAGCCAACTGTAGTTCTTAGGAAATAAACCGTAAAAATCCTACAAAACAATTTATTGAAAACAACTAAAGCCAATTTATCAAGATTTCTAGAAGAACCAGTATTAGTCCTAAGAATTTATCGATTGCTCCCTTTTGAGATTCATTTAACTCATCTAGATGGTTTCTTTTATTTTCTTTACTAGCAAATATGCCCATGCGTTGCAACGGGAATACTAAAATTGCAATAAATATTTAATGATTAGGGTTAAATTTTCGTGGTTTGAGCCATTTTAACATATATTTTGACCTGGCAAGTAATTTTGGGTGTTTTGTACTAGTTATATGTTTGTTGTAGTTTATTCATAAAAGAATGTTTTCTGCTAATCATACGTTAAAATCTCAAAAACAAAACCAGACGCGATATAGTAGCGGAAATAGAATAGGACAGCGTGATCTGGAAGAGGGGGGGGGGGGGGTTTACTGTCCAGCGCTGAGGGGCGGTACCGAATCCTGATCGTTGGATCGAGACTGATCCAACGGCTGCCAGAGTTCGATACCGCGAGGTACCACTCTTGTCCCTGATTCGGTACCACATGGTGAAGAGAGGTGGAAAGGTAAGAATGCAATTTCGCGTGGCATGGATGGCTAAGCCTGTTTGGATGGATGATAGGGTCCTGGATCCGGATTGAACTCCTGCCTCCTCTGTTCGCAGGTGAAATGCACAAGCACAATTTCCTCAGCAATCCGGGGTTGTGCACCGGTGATTCGTGCTCGACCGGCTGCAGAGCCCAAGCTGGCCAGCGCGGCCTTGTTGGGAATGTTGCCTTCATCGCCGAGTTGGCCTTGTCGCGGCCTCCATCGTCATCGTCGCCGGCGTCATCCTGCTGCTCGGCGTCGCGTGGTTCGTCCACAGGTACAGGAATCAAAGGAAGTGGAGCATGAAGGATGCTGCCGGCGACAAGTTGAGGTGGGTGGTCACGTCGTTCCACAAGCCGGAGTTCAACGAGGAGGACATCCTGAGCTGCCTCGATGAGGAAGTAGTAGGCGTCGGAAGAACCCCCAGCTCTGACTCGAAGAAGCAGGCGACCCCGTGCGACGAGGATAGCATGACGAGCTTCGACGAGGCTAGCATGAAGGAGAGCGACGGGGATGGGTGTTGATGCGAAAAACACACACTGGCCTGGGAGATCTGCTTAGCTCCAGTGCAGGTCCAAAGGTTGTTGAGATGCGGACGTGCCAGTCAGTTTGATGCTGCGACTGACAAGATATGTAAACAGTAGATCAAATAGCCGATCGGCTAAACAGCCGATGGTGACTTTGGGCTTACCAAATTTCACTGTTAACACACGGTATCGTCGCCGTCGAAGGGAAGGAACTCCACAGAGGGGACTAAGACCCCTACGATCCGCCGTGGGATGGCCGCGTGCGCGACGGTGGAGGCGCGTGGCCGCGGCCGGCGTGAGGTGCACGAGCGCGTTCTCCCTCACCACGTCGGCGAGCGGCACCCTGATGACGCGCTCAATAGCCGCAACCCGCTCCTTATGGATTCGGCGGATGAGGACGACGGAGAATTGCAAGTGGGGGCAGGAGAGATGCGTTTGAGGCTTTGAGCGAACCTGACTTTGATCCCCATCATACCCTTAATAAATTGAACTACTTGATCTATTTTAGTACCTACTCCACCAGTACCGGGCAGTACATAATGCTGGATGGGAACAAAGCTCATATAACAAAGTTTCCATTTATTTTGGTAGGCACACAAGGAGACATCATCGATCTCCTGAACTCGCAATGGACAAGAATGCTCCTCTTCAGTTTGAGCTTTTCCTGTTAGGTTCAGTCTCACAGTACTTCTGTTGTGCTCCAGGAACAGCCTTCCTATCGTAAAATTTAAAGGACGAGCGCATGTGCACAGGCACTGCAGGTTGCTGCTTATTCACATTCCGTTCTCGCTGAGCAGGGTGTCGAGCCGTATCTACTCGATCGTGCTCATCTGCTCGAAGCACCCTGCAGCTGTTGCCTCTCCTTCTGTACTCCATCTAAAAGTGCAAAAGGGATAGCCCCCCACCTCCTCTACCACCAGCAGAAAGTCGTCTCGGCCTGCTACACCTCTACATAACTATTGCTTAAGCGGATTAGGGCCGCCCATAACCTCACTGACTTCAATCGTCATGCATGCTCACCATGTCAAACTTGTCGTTTCGATGGTGCCTCTGCAGTTCTGCTTTGTTCTAACCACTGTCAAGCCGCACGCCGCTCCTGTCCACCTTCGTTCAAGCCGATGCTATTGCTAGCTACTGTTGGATATTTTGTAATCTTGAGCATTTTATATTTCTGTTTTGCATGAACGTAGTGGCTGGCTGAAGGTTGTTTTGGCCGGTCGGTAGAATAGCTGTTTCCTTCTGCATGTTGTCAGTTTTGTTTAGCTGCCGAATGACCTGGTTTCAGATCGTGGGATGGCGCGGTCAGTAGCCAATCCGGGTTGCTCGTTCTGTTCAGTTGTGCATGTAACAAACTCCGTTTTGGTGGAGGAGAATAAAGAGTGAAAACAGAAAAGCAGCAGAAGTTGCGCTGCACAAAAATTCCATTTTGTTCTTCAGTTCTTGACGTTTCCCGAACTTCTTCAGGTTACTGTCGTTGTCCGACAATTTTCAGAGTGAGCGAGTGTGAGCGATTTCAGAGTTTGTTCTTTCCGTTTTGCTGACAATTGGTATCAGAGCGGTACCACGACGGTCCTGAGACGATGTCTGATGATGGCGGGCGATACACACCGCCCGGACGCCGTGGTGGCGGTGGCGGCGGCGGAAGCGGCAGCGGGCGCGGAGGCGCAAGTGGCAGCGGCACGGGGGGTGGCGCAGACGGCGCGAACCTTCCTCTCGTGCCACAGGGGAGAGATGCTGGGCACACTGCTCGCCTCCCGGTGCTGTCGAGGACCAATTATCCGGATTGGGCATTGTTGATGCGTGTAAACCTACAGGCGCAGGGGTTGTGGACGGCGATTGAACCCGGATACGCGGAGTACCGCGACGATCGGGCGGCTCTCTCGGCAATCCTTCAGGCGGTGCCGCGCGAGATGTTGCGCGGGCTGGCGAAGCATGACACGGCGAAGGCGGCGTGGGACGCCATCAAGACCATGCGGGTCGGCGTTGACCGTGTGCGTGAGGCGAAGGAGCAGGGCTTCCGTCGCCAATTGGAGGCGATGCGCTTCAAGGATGGAGAGACACCGGAGGAGTTCGCGATGCGACTCACTGCCGTCGTCGCGGACATTCGCGACATGGGTGGAGTCATGGAAGACGAACACATCAACAAGAAACTGCTGCGCGTTGTGCCCAAGAAGTACAAGCCGGTGGCGATTTCCCTCGAGCAGCTTCTCGACGTGAAAACGATGGCCCTTGAGGAGCTCGTTGGGCGGCTGTCGACGGTCGACTCATACAGTGATGATGAGGAGGAAGGTGGCGGCGGCAAGCTCTACCTCACGGAGGAACAGTGGCAGGCACGCGCAAGGAAACAGGAGCAGGAAGGCTCCGGCGGCAGTAGCAAGAGCAGGGGCAGCTCTGGCACCCAGAACAACCGTCGGGGCAAGGCCGGTGGGTCACCGAAGGGGAAGGAGACGATCAACAGTGGGAACACCAGCCGTGACTACTCCAAGGTAAAATGTTTCAATTGTGATGAGTTTGGGCATTTTGCAAGGCAGTGCCGCAAGCCGCGGCGCCAACGTCGAGGGGAAGTAAACCTGACGCAGGGGGAGGAGGAGCCGACCTTGCTCATGGCTCACGCCATGGGGGTGTCTCTCGCCGGTGAGGAGACACTCGGGCGAACACCTGGTGTGCACGAGGTGCATCTCACTGAGAAAAAGGTGATTCTGGATCATGAGGTTGCAGAAGAGGAGGACAACACCACGGAATGGTTCCTGGATACCGGGGCCACCAATCATATGACCGGCATTCGCTGACCTCGACACCGGTGTTGTTGGTACTGTGAAGTTTGGTGATGGCTCAGTTGTGGACATCAGGGGACGCGGCACCGTGTTGTTCCAGTGCAAGAATG